ATCTATGGAACCAATGTCACCTGTGTCAAGCCAAAAATCATTGGTGGATTCTGTTGCCTTCATTGGATTCTTATCCCAATATCGAAGCATTAGATGGGGACCTCTAGTTAAAATTCTGCCAATGGTAGAAGGTTCGTCAGCACTTATCTTTAATTCAACATGTGGTGGAGGTTTGCCAACACATACACCATGTGGTTGGTGAACTGAACTGGATTTTGTTTTATCCACTGTCTGCAGAGTCTGAGCACGGGTTTGAAGTGTTGGATCATGAAGGGTCATGAAAGTTAGAGAAGAACATGTCTCTGTCATCCCTTCATAAAAAGGGTGAGAGTGAAAAAACAAGAGAAAGACACTAATAAATCTAGTGGTATAAGAAACATAGCTCATCCAAATTGATTTGTACTTTCAAGAACTATTTAACATTGGAAATATTATTTGGAAATACAATTTTTTTCCGTAGATGTGTAAATATGGTTCTAATTTCTTCGTACATGGCTTGTTTGAGTGGCTCCATTCAGTTCAGCTACACTCTAATAGCCTCATGTGGCCTGGATTGTCTATGAAGCACGAGGATCAACAATTGTTAAATTGACCTAGTCCATTGGCCACCATTGTAGCAGTAAATGTTATGCAGAAACAATGAAAGTAATTGCAGAACAGCCTAAAGCATCCACAAGCCCACTCCTCTAACACATTAGAAATCAACAATTCAAAATCAAATTCACATCTACAATGTTTCATCAAAAAATTGATCCCAAAAAGAAGATAACATGCCAAAAGATTATATTAAAGAAGAAGATAACAAAGATAGACAAGTCGCTACCGTAAGCTGAAAGAAGCTTAGCTCTTGGAAACAATTCGGTGGCATCTTTCATAAGCTCAGCTGACAGACTCCCACCTCCATTTAATAGCTTCTTCACATATTGCCTCCCTGTCCAAGTTTCTTTCAACCTGACAAAATATTTCAAAATTGTAATTTACTACTATGAGACATAATGATAAAATCACAAATAAAGCAGTGTGGTCAATTTTGGGGAAAAATGAAGAAAACTAGACAAAAGAATTCAGAAGAGCTTAGCAACAGAGAAAAAAATTGAAGTGTATGCTGACAAATTGCAGCGTAAATGTTAATCATGTAGTGCATGCCGTATGAAATGTAATAATGAATTCCAATGACAAAAACTACTGCGTAAAGATAGCTCTATCCAAGCAGAGGTTAGACACGACTCTGTTAATCTCCATTACAGGGGGGACTGCAACTTTACCTGGTTAAGGAAATCAAATCAGCCATCATTGCTGGGACAGTGATTAGAGAAGTAACACAATGTTGCTTGATAGCTTCTACTGCTAACGAAGCCTCAAATTTTGGTATCAAGACATGGCAACCTCCAACCATTAGCATGGTTATGGCTGATGACAATCCACCAATATGGCACAATGGAGCAGTGTGCAAATAAACCTGCAGAAGTCCAAGGAATAAGGAATCCAGCCAACAGTCATTTCTAGCTACCAATGCTACCATTCTCCAAATTATAAGAAACTCTAGAAATATCCTCAATGGTTTGCATTATCTTTATCCCTTTTAATTGCCATGTTTTTCCAGTTACAAATTCAGATCCATAGAAAACAATTCTTCAGAGCTGCATACATCATCCTCACTGTAACCAACAACAGCGACTTTCGCTAGGGACTGTACTATCATAGCTGAATGGCTTATGATAACTCCCTTGGGCCTTCCAGTGGTTCCTAAAGCCATAAAAAAATTTCAGCCAAAATAATAATTAGATTGCTGGATCATGCCAGTTAAGGATCCACACAGGAGGAACCTGAAGAATGGTACTAGAACTTCCAGTGGTTCCTAAAGCCATAAAAAAAATTCAGCCAAAATAATAATTAGATTGGTGGATCATGCCAGTTAAGGATCTACACAGGAGGAACCTGAAGAATGGTACTATAGTTTAAACTTCAATCATATTTAAGATACTATTTTTTTTACTCAACTTATTTTCCCTGCTGTTGAAGTGATTCTGTAAGTAAAATGTGCTCTTAGATGAACTAATTTAAGAGAAAAGCACAACGCATTTTGTAGAAGCACTTTCATTAGGAATCTTCAACAACGAAACATATCATAAAGGACACTCAAAATTCGAACCAACAGTGGCCAAGTTTAGCTCAAAACATAAAATTTTGAACTGGTCTCAAAGGGTTTGTCAAGTGTGATTGGTGACTGCCAGTTGCTGACCTATCATGTAGCAAGGATTTGACATCTATTGCTTGCACATAGTTGATAAAACAAACAGGAGTAGTAGAAGCTGTTGGAATTGTATGAAAGAATTGTCATTTCTGTCAGTTTAATTGCTCAGATCTAAAGAGCTTTCCTTTCTGTGAAGTCATGAAAAGTGTTTTATCAATTGGAATCTAAAAAGGGGAAGCAGCTGATCTTTGAGATCCCTACGCGACATACTGGGATGGATGATTGAGAGGAAGCAGGGAAACCCTCCCTACAAGGGGGGTATGGTTGCTGTACACAAATTCAGAATTGTATTTATGCATTTTACCTCTAACATGCACCAACAACACTCTGAAGATAAATTTGGTAAAAATATAATATTCCACTGAATATCAAGAGATTTCTTCTTGAATTTGCTTCCACACAGATCATAGGATTTGTACCTGAAGTGAAGCATGTTATGACAGCGCCCTCAGGTGCCCAGGAGTAATCCAGCTGTTTAGTTCCTATGACATGCTTCCTAAGTGTTTCAGTAGTTAACACTGTCAAAATGAAGAAAGCAACAACAACATTATGTCTGTCAGAACATGGAAGAAGAATAAAACCAGATGAAGAGATGTGAAGGAAGCTACACACCATTTGATGTTTTTACAAAACCAGAAGAAGGGGAACCTGAAAAAACATGCCACTTTACAGAAGGTAGAGCATTACTCTGGAGCTCTTGATACCAGTGTTTACAGCTCTCATCAGTGACCAGCATCACTGGCCTTACCATTAACATTGCTGATTTTGCTTCTTCGAAGCTCTGCAAATGGAGAGCACAAAACCTCAATCTAACTCTTTAGGAGTTGGCTAAAGCATTGCGCAGCAAGTAGATAGATGACTGGTGCAGATGCCGAACAGCACATACACAGGCAGGTGATGTACTAACCCATCGGTAATTCAAAGGAGCAACTATGCCTCCAACAAATGCAACAGCAAGTAACCACTCCAAATACCAATCACTGAAACAAATACATTCATCAGAATTTGTAAAATCAGATCAAATTTATTAAACACGGGCCACTCTTTAAGATCAACAGATTATTTTACACCAAAGTTATTAAACTTGTCCCATCCATGGCCCAGCCCACGGCCGGGGTCACATCATTACAAGTTGACCCACACGGAATAACACTATTTTACACAATCAACAAGGATCATTATCCATCAATACTTTCTATTTACATTGATGAACAAAAAATTATTTTGAAAGAAAACAGAAAATGGAGGGCTAGATTAGAGTAGTTTCAAAAACTACAAAAAGGTCAGCTAATCATAGTATAAATTTCAATAATGTCCAAACGTAATTTATCCATTATTCTTTATATTTTCAAGATTATAAGCTTTTTTTTAATTTATTTCTTAATATTACCAACTCAAAGATGAAAGATAAAAGTCTTCCATGACTTCATATTAAATTAAATTACATATTTTTTATTCTCTCTTACCAAACTAGTTTTGACAATGCCGCCAATATTATTAAACAAAAGGCTCATAAGCCCATCAATCCTTGTTTAATTAACCTTTGCTCACTTCTCCAAATTAATTTCCTTAATCAATGCAAAAAACCCTTTTGAAAGGCACCATTAATTCTAAGTTTAATACAACTAATCTATGCTCAAATTAATCACAAAAACATTAATGTTCACTCTAGAAATTAATCAATTGAACTAAAATAAGAACCTAATTCCCATTCCACTCTCAATTTCCTAGCAAACCAAACGAGAACATCGACACCAACATTTTCCAACAACCAACTTCCAGAACATCCTTACAAAGAAAGAAAACATAGCTCAAAGTATAAACCACTGTCTAAAAGAACCTGTTTTTTGCCAAAGGAATGTGAAGGTGCAAGGATAGATAATGATGATAATAAGAACCTGTTGAAACCACAGATGGCTACAATGTCACCAATGCCAAGACCAAGTTGAAGCAACCCATGAGCCAAAGACAAAACATCTCCCACAAACTGGTGTCCTGTTTTTTGCCTATTACCAGAGATGGTAACCACAGAAGTTGAACGTAGAGTTGATAGTCTGGTTAGGCACTGGCAAATGTGGGCTTGAGAGTAATTAGCCATCTGTGTTAACGGCGAATTGGGGATATGAAAGAAGAAAGTTTCTTTCTCTTTGGTCTCTTAATGGAAAGCTTGACGGTTGAAAGAAAGCGCGGATTAGATTACCTTATCAGTTTGCTAGTTAGGGTAAGGATAGGGGGGTTAGGCTGTGAGGCTACGTAGGTCACAGTAATAAGTGATTGGTGGATGGCTTGGAGAAAGCCACGTGGCTTTTCCAAATGGAAGAGATTTTGGGTCTCTTTCTCTCTTTAAGATTTGTTTTGTCTAGGAAAAAAAAGACAAAAACAAAGAAAACAATAAAACATCCCCTGTACCTCTTATTTTAAAAATAAAACAATTCAAACATCCGTTCGAAAACAATAAAACATCCCCTGTACCTCTTGTTTTAAAAATAAAACAACTCAAACATCCTTTCTGTTGTCCTATCTCATGCTTATGTCTCCATCCCTCCAGTTAAACATGTTGAATCTGTCATTTCTTGAACACTAACCAAACACATCCTTTCTGTTTAATTAATAATTAAAGCCAGTTGCTCCTTTCAAGTCCACAACTTCTTCGTGAACATGTACGAGAAAAAAATCCTAAAAATGATCGCTTGATCACTCATCCATCGTAGCAAAAGTTCATGAAGGAGATATTTGTAGAAGGCAATATGGCGATGAATTCTTTGATCCCATTTTATGGCCTCCCATGGTACTATTCGACTAGATGTATCAAAACAGAAATATATGCCAATACACCATAAATCCAAGAGCTCATGATCCTGATTATAAATTACAATTCTTAAATCATTTGGTTCGGGCTGTGAGGTTGTGATTTTACAGTCACATAAATGACCGCTCAAATCAAGTGTTTTTTCCAAGCACCAACAAAATTTCTAGCATAGCCACCAAAAATACATCAATCATTGCAGTGGAAGATTTGAAGGATAAAATCTCACTTCTTTCCACCCCCAGACACATTGAACTTGAAGAATATTATGTCTCCATCTTGGACAACGTATGTCTTACCCTCCTGCTTATACTTCCCAGCAGCCTGAGCGAAATTGCAAGAGATTCAATTCGTCAATAAAAAGGATAAGCCTGCATATTTTGTACAGCTGGGGTGCGGTGCATATAAATATAGACACCAATGTAAGAGTCATTAATGGGAACTTCACTAAAATTTTCCTTAAACGTCACATTTCAAGTTCAAATAGATGCCATATTAAAAGCTCACAATAACAAAGGCCTATGAGGCAACAAGATCAACATCAACCATACAATGAAAACCAATACCACAACCACATGCATGTGATCTTTTCGGAAGAGTACTGTACAACATGAGCGTTTCACACATAATTATAATACATGCAACAAATTCAAATACCTGTTGGATTCATAGGACACACTAGTTGATTTCATAATGGTTCCACAGCTAATGATCGCTTGATATCATGTAGTTTATTCGGTGCATATTTTTGATATATTCTGGACATATTCATCCTTAAGTCATCAGTTTCACAACCATGCTCTAGATTCTAGGGTTGCTCATCATGTTGCATATTGTAGGCTTCCAGGACAGACAATAGTATCTCGTTTTGTTTCCTTTTTTGTATCTCTTAATCTCTCCTTTTACCAATTAGTCTGTCCAATTCTGACTCCAAATAGTTACCGAGGGAATATATTGAAATATGGAAATTATCATTCACAACCCCCCAAACCCCTAAGGCTCTCACAGCAAACAAACAATGTTTTATTCAAAATGCATACCTTAACAGCTGACTCACTACCAAGCTCCTTCAGATCATCGAATTTCATGACCTAAGCATTATCAGGAAATTCAAGGATAAGAAATCACAATGTTGAATTTTCAGTGGTCACTGATAAAAATCAAATATGCATCAAGATCATTAATTGACTTGGAAATAATGAAAGGCACAGACAGTTGAGATTATAAATTTATTGAGCAGTTTGTTAAAGACTCAGTTTTGAAAGTGGTGAATCCAGAAACAAGAAACAAACCTCAGCACATATAAATCCTCTTTCAAAATCAGTGTGGATAGTCCCTGCAGCTTGGGGGGCTTTTGTCTGTCGTCTGATTTGCCAACATTTCACCTGCAAGAGCAAGTGATTCAGGACATTAGGCTTAACTTATCAAAACAGAGGCCACAGACAGCTAGCTGTAAAGATATTATGACATACACAGGAAGGACTATCATGAAAAATATATGCCATCAATGAGAGGGATAATTATCATTGCGAAAGACTAATAGTGTAACAATCAGATTATGAAAAACTAATGAGAGCTTGAAAATCATGACCATGAGGGAAATAGGCAGTAATAATTGCAACTGATTTCAAAGAAAATCCATGTACAGGTGCCATATGCTAAGATCTAACAATTCGGACCAAAACGTAGCAACAAAGTTAATTTCTTATAAATTTTTCCACAATCCACAGTGTAAAACTAAAGCGCCCATGTGGAGAAACATTTAGTTGAACGAGCTAAAATTTTAACAAGAGAGATTCCACGGGGGGGGGGGCATCATCATTAGATTTTGTGAACACGCTACTGTTTTTTCTCTCAAATTAATATACAGATCTTCAAATGAAAAAAAAAAAAACACTTGAGAGATATTTACAAGCCACTGGCTCCTCAATACCAACCTTTGTAACTTGTTCTCCTCGCAATACTTAGCCGCTTCATCTGGTAGCATATCAGCAAGAGTTCTCTCTAATATACAGCTGAAAGGAATAATGGTTTCACCGCCATGTTCCTGCACCCTACAAAAGAAATCAAAAACCACTTATTTCTTTTGTAGGAAAACAATCTAAAAGAGCGTATGCTGATCAGAGACCACCTGTGAAATTTGACAATCAAACTGTCACAAGCAACAATAAATTTCTACAGGGGTTGTCAAGACATGATGCAAATTAAGTCACATGCAGGGAATGGAGTGACAGACTTCATAGCAACATACATGAATAGCTTGAAATGGTAAATATGAGGTAAAAAAAGGGCATACCATGCATGTATCTTGGGCAAAAACTTGTTCTTCTTTCTTTGGTAATCCTTTTCATTCATATTAATCTGAAAATTCAATGCAATCACCCAAGAAGATCATCAAAACTGCAAAAGATGAGCCTAAGATGAAAGGAGGGTGGAAAACTTGCCAAGTAGACAACTGGCTTGGCAGTAAGCAACTGAAAAGTATTCAATATCTCGATATCAGCAGCTTTCCATTCTCCTAAACGGACATCTTTCTCTTCCTCAAGCCAAGCCTTGACCTAACACGCACCATCATTGCTTGAAATCATTTAAGGGAATAAGCCAGTAGTTATACTCCCTCAGTCACATATTAAGTGTCCTACTTTCCATTTTTTGATGTCTCGGTATAAATGCCCAATCTAAAAGTCAAAGTATAATTATTACCTTCTTTCACTTACTTTCCTTTATTACCCTTTACCATTACTCAAAAAAACATTTAACTATATAAATATAGTTAGGGGTAAAGGTGGGATCATATTTTTAAAATAAAAACCATTAATTAATTTATTCAATTCCTAAAAATTTGTGCAAAAACAATGAAGAAATTTATTATGGGACTGAGGGAGTATATATACAAAGCCGATAGACATCATTCAACATATGCAAATGAACCTTCACATCAGCATGTGATTAGCTGATAGATTCAAGGTAAAATATCATACTAAGTTCCAGCCACGAGAATACATACCTTTTGACACAACTCCAGCTCTATTTTTAACTGCTTATCATTGCTCCTCTTCATGCTCTTCTCAACATCCTCTATCCTCCTCTCTATGAACTCAATATCCTACAGTACAGTCATGCAGGGTTTAAAAATCTAATTCATTTTTACTGAGAAGTTTAAGACTGAGTGGTCAAAAATACATCACAGTATCTTATAGCACATCGCATTCAAAAACGCGTGATGGAGCATACTTTAAAATCAAACATAAAATTCCAAAACAGTCATTTAGATGTTCAATTCATACTTATGGGCATTATTTAAGTGCCAAACAGTATCTGTAAGTAAATCACATACCTTCAGTCGTAGCTCTGCGCTAATAACTTCAAGATCTCTAACCGGATCCACAATGTCGTCAACATGGATAATATCAGGATCCTCAAATGCTCCTATTATACATGCATGGATATGAATAAATTCCACATCAAGTGCACATTTAACACCCATGTACAACAAGCAGGAAAAAAAAAATCTCAGATATCATGTTTAGATTGAACCCAATTTCTAATTTCTAATATAACAGCAGCAAATAGAACAGTTAACCCTATCCAATGGAAAAGTTTTCTACTATTCTCCCCTTAAAAAGCAAAGCACCATATTTCCTAAGAAGAATATTTCTTCTTTGACGCACTTTTTCTTGTCAATTTCCATAAGAGAATAGTAGTTCAGTAAAAAAATTAGAAAGTCACTGCACTATTTGAATAACAAAAATCTAATTATAAAAAAAGTGATAAATATCTTACGCAAAACATGAAAAATGCCATCAACAGCACGAATGTGAGATAAGAAACTGTTCCCCAATCCTTGACCTTGATGTGCACCTCTAACCAATCCAGCTATATCATGAATCTCCAAGAATGCTGAAACCTGAGCATTAAAAATTAAAAAAAATGTGATCTTTTTAAAAAACCCAGTACTAAGTTTTCATTTTTTTCATTTTCTCCCCATCAATTCCATCAAATTTCAGATTTTCTCATTTCTTTCTTCATTATCCAGCAATAATAACCCTGCTTAATCCGTCAGATTCAACAGCTAATATCATCAGCACGAAAAATCTACAAATTATATTCAACAACTTGAAGCACACAAACCTCGCTTTTCGGCTTAAACAGCTGGCAAAGCCACTCGAATCTCTCGTCAGGAATATTAACCCTAGCCTCATTAGGTTCAATGGTGCAAAACGGGAAGTTTTCAGCCGGTATTGACAGCTTCGTAAGAGTATTAAAAAGGGTAGATTTCCCCACATTCGGCAATCCAACCTAGCAAAAAAAGAATTTTACACATCGAAGCACGAAAAAGAGGTTAAATAGGGGAAACGAGAGGGGTGAGAGAATAATTACAATGCCGATCTTGAGGTGCGATGAGAATCGGCCAAGAATCGGCCTCTCTGCCGGTGCTTCTTTGGATTTCGATGCTTTTGGTGGCATTATTTTTTTTGGGGGTGGGGGATTTGGTTTAGGGTTTTTGGGAGGGATGATGTTTAGCGTGAAATAGCAGAAAGGCGAAACCAGTGATGACTCTGAATTGGGCTTTTTTGGGTTATTGAAGGATATGGGCCTTCAGGAGCGAACCCAATTGGTAGCCACAAGTTTAAACCTGTACATTAAGATTAAGTGTGTGTTTATTAAGATTGTGTTTACCGAGCTCCTCCTGGAGATTGCTGGAAACGAGGAGTACAAGAAGTTCTCTGGGTCCTTCTCTACAAGTTGTTCTCTGGGTCCTTCTTTAAGAACCTCAAGCTTGGTATCCACGAGGATTACCAAAACAAGTCAAAACTTGCTGAGTTGCTCATATATCATTCTACCAAGAGTAGTGATGAGCTGACAAGGGACTATGTGACCAGGATGAACCAGGGCCAGAATGACGTTTAATACATCACTGGCGAGAGCAAGAAGGCTGTTGAGAAGTCTCCATTCCAAGTTGAAGAAGAAGGGTTATGAAGTTCTCTTTATGGTTGATAAGTATGCTGTTGACCAGCTCAAGGAATTTGAGGGCAAGAAGCTTGTCTCTGCTACCAAGGAGGGCCTGAAACTTGATCAGGCTGAAGATGAGAAGAAAAGGCAGGAAGAGCTGAAGCAGAACTTCGAGGGTCTCTGCAAGGTTATCAAGGATGTGTTGGGAGACAAGGTAGAGAAGGTATTGTGGCAGTTTTGCTACCTCTAACGCAGATATAGCCCTAGTCGTCAACTAGGGAGGTTAGGAGAGAGTGCTTGGTGAGTGGTAGTGGTGGTATTTCACATAACCTGGACTTGTGAATTGGCTACACGAACCTTTTGATCAAGGCTCTTAGTGCATGTTGGTTAACCTTCGAAATGTACGTTTTCTTTAACATTCCTTCTTCAGAGTTCAGACAGGGCCTATTATTGAACATGCCATGTCCATCACAGGTCATTGGTGTGACCAGTCTCACCTTTCCTATCGAGTATTTTTCATCCGTCAAGCTAGATATTGATACTTCTTCGCCTTTTTTTGGCCTGATAACTTGCGGAGTAGTTGAACCAAGAGGTCTCAGATTTAAGTCCAGGATCGCTTCATATGTACTCCTTTGGAAGGTGAAGTGCATGAGCACCAGTTTTCATGTCCAACATCTTGGAATGACCGGAACGGTGAATTAACAGAAAGCTTTTATCATATAGTTAGTAAAACAAATCCTTTTAGAGGTAATGGAAAACTAAAACAGACAATACAACATAGCGTTACAATTTCCTGCTTTGATGTAAGTGACATCAAAAGTTGTCCTATCTCATGCTTATGCTTAATAGCTACCCGTCCACCCAAAAAATTTCAGCATAGGAAATATAAGAATTGAAGTGCATATAAGATTTATTGATTCCAAATCCTTTTTCTTTATCTTCTCCTGCTGTCCCGGTAGTCTCCCTCGCTCTCTTTGTCTTTTAAGAACCCTAGAAATGCAAGAAAGCCAAAGAAGAAGAATCCACCTGACCAGTTTCCTCCTCCCCCACCCCCACCACCGCCACCATCACCGTCATCACGGGGTGGGAGCCCAGGTCCTCCATCATCAAGTTGAGGTGTCTTTGTTGGTTCTGGAGTTCAATTGACCAGTATAAGTCATCTTAAATATGAAGTGGAGCAACAAAGATAAATTATCCAACAGACAGTTGTATAGAAAACTCACAAACTGGAAAATAACAAAAGCACATTTAATGTGAATTCTAAATAACCAAAAAATGAAGTTCATTAAATATTTACCATGCAAACAAAGAAAAATGTTGAGCAACCAAGACACATTTCCAGAAGACATCAATCACCTAAACAAAATCTGCTTCTCAATCACCTAAACAAACTACAGAAGGGAAAGGTTAACTGAGTATCTCTAGGCCAACTCTTCTGCATATTTAACTTGCAATATTCTTTCTCCTTAAGCAAACTTACACATCTCAAAAAAATTAAAGGAACAAGAAATTCAGACAGCAATACCCATAAATCCCTGTCCCAATGGCAAAATGTTTACCTCTAGCCTAGGGAACAACAAAATTACAGGCTTCTTGCTTTAGAAAGCTATTATAGCATGGCTTTGCCTGTTCAACTTGTGTGAAGTGCTAATAGAAGACAGAAAAAATACTTATGGAAAAGGTTTCTCTGACCAATTGCATTGATTCAGTTGACTAATAATAAAAGGCAAGAGCTCATTATGTTGAAATCATAGAGAAAGAAATTAAAACTTCCTACATTCAAAATATAGCACGTGCATAACATGAAGTAATAGATCCAACAACAGGCTTACCATAGCAGCAGAACATATAATAGAAGCAGATCGCTTTCTACTTGAATGTACAAAGGGTTTTATTCTATCAATAGGCTGTAGTTGTGTAGCAAGTCCAAGGGGACCTTGTCCTGTTTGCTTAATTTGGCCCTTGCATTGACCCCTTGTCTTCACTGTGCGCAAAATATTATAAATTGCAGTATTTAGAATCAACACAGAATCAATCTAACAACCTAGTAAATTTAGCCAAATAACTAACCAGGTACTAAATTTTTATTATCATGTACAAGAAGAAAGCTACTTGCAAAAAGAACCATCAGGAATTTTGGGGGTTGGGGAATAGCCTTGATTGACAACATTCAAGAGAACTGTCAGGGATCATGGGGGATAGATACTATCCATTGCACTAGGGCATTAACAACCTAACGCATACCCACACTCAAACAAAGCTTGATACCACTATATAATATCAGTTCCCCAATAAGTTTAAATGCAAGGGCTAGCTAATCATTAGAAAGGCACAGGGTAACCAAGCCATACTAGGGTTGAGGATGGAGCGGGGATCTATTACTATTGCAAATTGTTTATTCATGTTGTGCATTTAAGCTTCACAATTCAAAACTGTAAAGTGCTCGGTAGCTGAGCATCATCCACAGATATATATATTCAATATATTATACTCATATCAACATGATTAATCCAATTGACTGGCATGCACATTTTATAGCATCAAATACCTGCTCACTGGTGTCTGGTCCACAATTCTCAAGTAAAAACTAGTGACCATGAACATTCACATTATATTTTCCAAGCACTAAATTAGGGGAACACAAACCTGGCACAGAAACAGGCACAGAGCTGATATTACTTGCAGAAAAGGGCAACATCTCAGCAACAAAGGAGAAATACCCTGTAAATTTATCTGTTAAAATTAAATGAGACGAAAGATGTCAAGTGAAATCAAATGCTAAATAAGTGCCACCATAATGAACTGCATAGCTTGTAAACCAGATAACTAAAGCCAAAAGAAAGAAAATTTTTCAATCCAAGAAGTGAAATGCATTCTTCACGAGTAAATACGCACATTCCACGTAATGAAGCAAACATCAGAAAGCAAAATCAGTACAGTAACAAGGCTAATTGAGTCATTTCCATTACTCAAACTTAAATTTCAAAAAAACAATAAAAATCCCATCTTGAAAAGATTGAGATACTCTTGAAAATACCTTTTCTTTTCATATAATCCCATTCCAACCAAAACCCAAGTAAAAGCACAACACACTAGCCCTTCTCTAATCCATAATCCACCACAATCACCAAGACTGCGACTTTTCCATACCTTAAGCTACAAAATGTCACCAATTGAATTTTAACCCAACCACTGAATAAAGAAAACATGTGACCACAACAAACAGAACAACTAACCAGCTAGATACCTAATACAACCACATAGATTTCACCTTAATTAACACGAAAAATGAAAATCAGACACAAATTGAAAGACGGGTTTTTCTGTTTTCGCAGTCCTAAATAATGGGTACATAATATTCTTCCTGAAGGTAGATCCTTTTCTGTCTTTTCTAGAATTTTCTCAGCGACCATTAGAAAGAGAAAGAGAGAAAAACGCCATACCTTTATTGACTCAGTGAAAGGACAATTGGTACAAGTAGAAGACCAACTGAATTTGAAAGCTCTGTAATGTTTCTGTGGTTTCATTGCGAAAACATTGGATTGGTGGTAGGAAAATGAAGGCGGCGATGACACTGTAATACGGTGCCGTTTGAAGTTTCAGGTTGTTTTTTCTGGGCTGGCATAAATGGATGATGGGCTGAAATTTGTCTTTGTGTGGTTTTTAGAGTCCACAATTATTGGATCGAAATGATTTTAATTTCAGTTAGTGATTAGATTAAATAGCAGCTTATTGCCCACGCTATTACTGCAGCTTAGACAAAAAAAAAAAAAAAAAAATTGGAATGTAAAGAAATAATATGTAATTTTTTGTATTATTATTAAACTTAATATAACAGTTAAGATTTAAAAAATCTTCTTTTAATTATTTATTTAATTCAAATTTAAAATTAAATTATATTGAAGTTTTCTCAACATAAAACTTGTAAACTGAAAAGATTAAAACAATAACTAATAAATTTAATCTAGTTAATTAGTTAAATTTACAACCTAATTTATAAATTATACTGAGTTAAATTAATTTTTTATTTTATTATTTGATTAAAAAATATAAAAATCAATGCATCATAAATATAATAATTAATGATAAGATTTAATAAAAAATTAATATTAAAAAAAATTAACATGTTAAATTAGAAAAATTCAAAAAAGAATTAAGTTGCAAGATCATGATTTTCCTTGCCCTAGTTCGATTTATTCATAGTATGCTCTTATTTTTAATTTTGTTTATCAAGAAAACTTGAATATACAAAATTCATTGTTTGATCAGTGGAATTTTAAGGAAATAGTAACACGAAATTGGAATCCAATGAATTGTCACCATTTTAAGCCATGAGCTTGCTAAAAAAGCTCATGCACAAGTGCTTGTTAAAAAAGCTCGAGTACATCGGCTTAAGAGAGATCCATATGTTTATTTTTTTCTTTAATTTTTATAAGTATTGGATGATTTTTTAAAATAAATAAATAAATAATAAATTATTTGTTATTTATTGATTTTAATCAATTTCTTTTTATTATGTACCAACCCACTTGACCTATGAAATGCAATTATTAACTACTTGAACTCATACTATCATCAACCATACTTGTTTTATGTGAGGTTTTTATATTTTAAAAAATAAAACAGACATCTATAATTTTTATAAATACAACTAAATCTAGTTTTGCTATTTATAAACCAAAATTAAAAATTTTCTATAACATTAAAACTTGTCTTATTAATTTTGATTTAAATTTTTCATTGGTTTTTAACACTACACTCATTCGCCACCCATAATATCAAGTTTGATATTAATATTTATTTATTTTTTATAAAAAAGTAATTATAATAAATTTTTTCTTGAATCTACATGTACTACTTCCTAATTTTTTATCATCTCATTTATAATAAAGGAATGGATAGCTCAATGATTAAATAACACATAAATAAACAAGTGATGTAATAGCAATATATTTGTAATGATATCAAAAATAACTTGAGTCTTTTTTTATGTCATGGTGAATACATTATCCTATTCAGACACTTTAAGCTCTACAATAATATTTATTTTTACTGGCTCTTAATTGTGTTTATCCACCTATTCTGTCTATTGTGATTGACTACTACTGACTTTGAATCTACTACTAAGTCTGTATAAACTCTAACCTTTAATGATAATCTTTTATAACATGTTCTTAACAATGACAATAATAACATTTTTTTTTATCCAAATACAAACACTCCTTTTATCTATGCTCCCCCCAATATATATATGTATATAGATATACATATATATATACATGTATATGTCTATGTATATGTATATATATACATATATATATATATATATATATTATTGAGATATAGTATAACAATTTTTATAGTGTTTGTGTCCACACTACAAAACAGTAAAGATAAGTAAATTTTTTTTATTCTGACATTCCTTTAATTGATTCACTTTTACCACTATGTTGTCCTTCAATAGATTCAATAGATTTGATACGGAAAATTTAAGCATTCCCGATTATTGCTCCTTCCTTCTTTCTAAATTGACTAAATTAAGGTTTTTTTTATTTTTTAGGATTAAGATGTCTACTTAAGGAAAAATCACCACCATTTTGCTTACCTAACACTGCTTGACCCTATAATCCTGAGCCAAAGATATGAGGGGCTGCAAGGCCCCGGGCTTCTACAAAGAAATTTTTTTTCTAACCCCTCCCTTAACAATATTTATATTTTTAACCTAAATAATAAAACAACTAATATTTTGGTCTCTTTTAGTTTTATTTTCTAATTCCGCCCTTGCTACCATCCCTCGTGCTTCTAAGGCTTCATCCATCTCTATAAGCTCTTTAATGAACTCAAACCATAAAGCAAACAGTCCTTGTCTTAATTTCTAGCACAATCCATCTTGCAGTTTATCCATCATATACTGCTCAATAGAAACAAACTATAAAAGCAAACAATGATAGGTTATAGAACATTCTCTTATACTGTAGGACTAACATGTACCCTTATCTCAACACTACGAACTCCTACTCCTTGACTCTATACTCATAAGAGAAAAAATCTTGCATCTTAAACTATCCCATGAACTCATTTCAGACCCATAACCTTATATCTCTCTTGGACTGTATCATTTCCCATCATGATTAAGCTCTATTTAATAACAATTATATAACATTGCTCATTGCCTAATCCTCGAATACTCTAATTTGAATTATGGTGTTCTTTACTTTTTATATCCATCTGTTTGTAATCTTTGCATCTTGTTTGCCCTAAAAAAGCTCACATCCCAACTCTTTTATGCTTTTTACTTTTTGAACCAGAGCAACTACACTATCAGAAATAGTAGCAGTAGGAATAATCGATGCTTTAAGTGGCATTGAAACTTTTAGGGTTACTAAGGCCATTTGACTATTGTATTAGACATAGTCTCGATCACATCTTTAATTATTTGCGTAGGTGAATCAGGGTTCGTGTATGGTATAGGGGTTGTTGCTAGTGGAGGTGTTGCTCGTTGTCTCTATAACTCGGATCTCTTAGGCGATAATGCGCCAACTTAGCTAGAACCAACCTCATCTCAAAGTCTAGATGACTCCCCAACACTTAATTGATAAGATATTGGTGGTATATACAAAGCAATATCCTCTAAATGATTTAGTCGCTGACTATCAACAAATCTTGTATTATGGTCTCTTCTCCTCACTGAAGAGGAGTTAATCATCACACTCATCTTTATTCATAACATCCTGAAAACAAACTAATATTTATTAATTTTTCATTTCATTTCCTAAGCCCGAACTAAGACCCTAATACTAAATGTAACAATACTAACTTTTCAAAACAATATACACATGAATTCCACGATTACAAATATAAGAAAATCCAATAATTGTTTTTCATAAGAAAAATAAATCATAAATTATCCACATTAATGGGTTCACATTATATAATAAAATGAGATCCTTGGTTTTTCTTCCTTTTTATCTTGGAATTCATATGTATATTGTCTCAAAACTTGGGGTTATTATAAAGACTAAAGAACAAGCCTGAGTCAACATATGTTAACACACTAAACCCATAAATTAGATCATAAGATCGAGACAAACTTATATAAAGTAAACCAAAATAAATCATTAACAAAATACTAAAAGAAATTATATTTTTACTATGTACCACCTTATAAAACATTATTCATTTCAATAGTTTTTTTATCCATATTTTTTTTTAATTTTAATTTTATCTTTCAATATTTAATTTGCTAGGGATTAAGTTTCATTATTTATTTTGATTTTCTTTCTATAGGATTATCCTAGTCTAGTAATCCAAGTTATGAGTTTTATGAGTTACCTTGTTATCTCGGGTTTTTTCTTCTTTATTTATTTGACTTTTTTTTTAAATTTCCATCTTATTAATTGAGAATTAGGCTTTAAATAAAATGTTAAAAAATAAAATGAAAAAAAAAGTCAATTAAAAAAGAAAAGAAAAGAAAACTTGGGTGAACCAAGTTAACTTATAAAACTTAAAACCCAGATTATTAGATTGAAATAACATTATAGAAACTAAATCAAAATAAATCATGAAACTTAATTTTTAACAAACTAAATGTTAAAAAATAAAATAAGTTTTTTAAAAAACATAGATTAAAAAATATTATTTAAATAAATAATATTTTGTGAGGTGAAACACATTAAAAGCACCACCTCCTTATTTTGTTAATATAACATATAATATATTTTTTAACATTAATGTATAATATTTCTAGCTTAAAAATAAAAATTTCTTAAAAATAATTTAGTGATTTTTCATAGAATATAAATAAAAACATGGGAAGAAAGTGCTATCGGTGAAGAAATTTGATTTAAAATAAAGTTACGTATTTAATAGAGAATTGTGTTTGTAACATAAAAAATAGTTTATATTCAAATCATATTTATTTTCATGAATTGTTTTAATAAAAACCTCTATAAATTAATATTTCTTAGATCATTAGAAATTATTAAATGATCAAGATTTTATTTAAATTTTAAATTTATGTTGGAATCGAACAAAAATATCATTTAGGCTATTAATTTATCAAATGTTACACTGCATAATTCACTAAATACCTTAATAATCCTACCCTTCTGGAAGCATTTTCAAATCTAATCTCAATTGCAGATAAAGGTTGCCACAAGAACCGGCCACCCTTTATACATAAGAGCACATACATTAAAGGTTGAATGGCAAGGGCATTGCTAATAATTAATTAATGCCTTTCTTCCTTCATCTTTGCGTAATGAGTCCCACATGGACAAATCCTAAGTAGATTAACGCAGTGCTAATACTGTTTGAAGTTGTAGACTCGGATTTGATCAAGTAAAGGGATGTGATGAAGACTCTTTCAATGGGACGGCATTACATTACTTGTTAATTAATTCACTAATTAATTTGTTAATCATGTCTTT